AAATCAATTCACTCACCAATTCCTATTATTGTGATTATGATGACACAGTAAAAGAAAATTTTGACGCCGTAACCTTCAGAACTCCTATATCTATATGCATATGAGGGCATGACATTGTGAACATGATGTTGGCTCCTAGTGTGAATTAAAAAAAATGGTCATACCGAGTATCGAAATAATCCGATACTTTTGGATCGGATTTTGAAAATTCAATAATTTGAGTTATCTCTAAATTCCAGAAAAAAAAAGTGTCGAATAAGCTTCAGGGAAAAACTATCAAAACCACGAGAGCAAAAAATATCCTAACATACCAAGACTTAAACAAGCTAAAGCAAGTAGAAGCTGAAGAATTTTAAGACTTCGAAATATTGACGGCCTTGTGTATAAGTCCATGATGAAAGTCGCGAATTTGTCAAAAATGAACCATCAGAATTTAAAACTCAAGTTTGATTTAACAAATTTTTATATTAATCTGTCTTTCTATCAGAATTTCAATTCAAAGGGTTATTCTCGTGGGATGGCGGAATGGAAGGGGTAAAATTCTAAATGTCACCTGAAGCACATATATATATTTATCTCTAATAAGGGCTTATGTAATTGTCGGTTATGTTCCTGCCTTTTTTAACGGTTGTGTTATTTTTCATTGGTGTAATTGTTGGTCACTAAAGAACGAAAAGAAAGAAGAAGAGTAACATTTAACACGTATTACAATTTCCTGAAGTATGCATTCTATTATTCATACAGATCGTCGAAAAATATATGTTTATTACTTGTTTCATTTAAAAAGATAGGATTAAACTTGTTTGTTCCTACAGTATTCGCCTTTTTGATAGCCATTTTTAAGATAAATAACCGGATTTTTATACAGTAGTAGCATATGCATATACATTATACCCGATAAATTAATATGATACAATAGGTTACCTAGAAATTTTTCTAGAAAATTTGATTTGCGCCAGGCTAGTTTAATTTTAGCAAACGAATTAATGTTTCGATTTAAAAAATTAATTTCATTTTAAAAAGGATTTAAAAAGTTCAAGCCACAAGAAATCGGGTTAATCAATAAGTCGAAAACAAATAACAGAATAACAATCTACCGTACATATATTATGCGTATCAAAACGGAATGGTAGCGATTCGCGTGGTTAAGGTTCTTAATAAATCTGGGTTTGGCTCTAAGCCTAATATACTGGTCGTGTGATCCACCTGGTAAGGCACTGGTAACAAAATTTCATACTACACATCAAATATTTTTTTAAAAAAATGTATAGTACATCATATTTTGAAATTCGAAATACGGCTTATGTATAAAAAAATTTTTTTATTAAATTCTTATTAATAAATCAAGTAGAATTACTTGATACTAATCATATACATATATACTATATATATTTGTATTAATAAAAAGAAATTTTAAGAATACCAAATATTATTTCATTAAAAATTTATTAATCGAATTATTTTAATATTGACAAGTTATCAAAGTTTTCAATTTCCAACACCAAAAAATATCAGATATTGAAATATCATTTCAAAAAAAAAAAAAAAATTAGCATAATAATTAATCTCATAATTATCTTAAATTAGACTGTGATTCAAAAAATAATTGTGTAATAATAAATTTAGATTCATATTAAATATTATTATATTTATATACAATATATATAATATTAATACAGGTTAACAAAATTCTTTTTCATAACAATAAACATCAATCAAAATAATATTTTTCAAAGAACTATTATATTTTGTTGATTATAAAAATAAACAAATTTAAATTAAAATACAAGAAAAAATCATGATATATTTTAAATAATAAAAACATTACATACATCAAATCTTATTAATATTATATAGAAATAATAGAATTTGATTTACAAATTTTAAAAAAATTATAAAAAATTCAAAACTTCAAAACTTTATTAATATAACTAATTTAAAAAACAATTCTATTTATTATAAATAATTTTAAAAAATCTTGTCAACTTTTTAAAAAATAAAATTTTAATATAAAACAAAAATACTTTTATAAGAATTAAAATAATTGTTTTTTAAAATAAATCAAAAATTTTTTATTATCCTATAATTTAAAATTCAAAATTATATGCATATTTCTTTATTGTTTTAAGTTTTAAAATAAAAATATACTTTTGATAATTATTTAAATTAATGAATTTTTAATGAATTTTTTAAGAGCAATAAAATATTGTTTATTATATAAATTAAAACTAATATCTTTTAATTTAAATATGTTATATAAGTCAACAATTAATAATAAAATGTCTAGATTTATATTTTGCAAAAACAGAATTATATGTGATTTTAATATTATTAAGAATTTGTATGATTTTTAAATTATTTTATAAATTAAAAAAAAAATTCAATATACAATATAAATTATTTGAAAAATAATTATATAATTGTTTTAGTTAATTATTAAATAATTGTGAAACAATATTATATAAAAATAAAATAATAAGATGTTTTTGTAATTTTAAATAAAAATTAAATAATTAAAAATAAAAATTATAAGATTTCAATAAAAAAAATATTTTTTTTTTAAAAATTAAAGAAGGCATAATGAAAATTGAAATTTCAAAACAATATATAAAAAAATTATTATAAAAAAATCTTAATTATAATTTTGTTCTTTTTATTATTATATTGAAAAAATCAAAATATAATTATTTTTTTAAATCTTGTATATTAAAAATAACTTTAAACAAAGATAAATTTATTTATTTATTTATTTATTTAAATATTATTACTTTATTATTTATATAATTTTAAATTTTTATATATATAAAAAGTAACAATATTTATATTTGTAAATCAATAGTACAATAAATAATACTTTCAAGTCATCAAATACATGTTTCTAGTTCAATACCCACAAGAGACAAAAAAGCATATTTATTTTCATATATGGATTTATTAAATATCCTGTATATATTATACACAATAATTCTTAATAATTTCCAAATTCAATTAGATTGCATAAAAATAGAACATTTGGTTTTTCTAATAATTATAGGCTGAAAACAGGTTGAACATTAGAATTTTTTTTTGGTAAAGATTTCTAAAGATCTTAACTTTAAAAAAATTTTAAAAAATTTTTAAAATAATAAACTCTAAAAATTTTTATTTCAAAAAAATTTATTACTTTTATCAAATCTTGAAATTATATGAACTAAATTATCTATTTTTTTATAGCTAAGTTGCAATATATATATGGATTTTATTTTACGATTACAATTATCTATATATAAACAATCTATTAACTATTGCCAATATCACTTTTGCTACCTATCCTTTTTATCAAAATATCAATTAATACCCAGATGTGAATCCATACTCTGGCTTTACAACTATGTGATAATTTTATAACTATCTAGATAAATACTTATCATATTATACCTTCACTTCATATATGCCATATATAATAGTTGAAACCTTTGACACAAGTATATATTTTCTAGTAAATGTTCTGATTTGACTACTAGTTGGCACTGACTATCAAATCTAGGGGTCGCTTTGGCCAAGTAGAGTACAACTCTTTAAAAAGCTTTTTTACTTAAACTCCTAGAAATACTTCAGACAGACTGGTTGATATAAGATATCAAATCTAAGAGTATAAATACCAAGCAGAGTACAACTCCTGTATACTTTGTCTTATTGCATAGTAACCATACCAAGGATACAGGTGGTCACAGTTTTATATACTAGCTTCAAGGTCTTCTTAATTCAGTAATTAAATCCTATCACTATTAAACAATTTTTGGCAATTATTATACTTTAACTGGATGATTATTATACCATGACACCTTTTCTGGAGATCACAATATCAATGCCTGCTGGATCAACATGTGAAACAGCTTTATATGAGAAAAACATATAATAGATTATAGTATCAGATACCATATAGGTTCTATTCAATTGTCTTTACTTGGAATTAAACCAATATCTTGTGATCTGACCTATAAAGTATTAACCATTATACTATAGACCTACAGGTCTAAACTAAATTATCTTTTGCTCTTATATCTACTAAATTATATATATTCATTGATTTAAAATATACATATTCAGAAAAAAATCTTTTCTATTTTCTTTAATTTTTGAAAAAATTTCTTTTTGGAAAATTTTAATAAAACAAAAAAGAAGAACTTGTCAAGTTAATTTTTCTTTAAAGAAATTTTTTTCTTCCTTTATTACTATTGAAAACAAAAACTCTTTTCTAAAGAAGACTTCTGATTGTCTTCTTTTTGCTGAAAATCTAAGAGGTTTAGATGAAGTAATCTTAGGTATTATATGCAAAAGATCAAATTCTAGGCTTATTAAATAAAAGACTAGTTTCTTTTTTTCAAAATAAAAAGTTATTTCTGTCAAAATCAATACAATAAATTTATTACACTTCAAGTTTTACTATACATGAACCAATTTTAAGAGTTTGATTGAAAAAACTCAAGCTGTATAGAGATAAAACTCTTGGTTAGATTTATTAAGACCTGAGAACTTTGATAATAAAGATTGCATAAAAAAAGGTCTTTGGTTTAACTTCTTTTTTTGCTTACATATGTGGATGTAGAAAAATAAAAATCAGTTTATTCCCTCCAAAAGATTAATAAATCCTTTTTCACAAATTATATCTCACAAAAATTGTATTATCTATCATTAATATTACAACAATAATAATAACAACAACAATAAAACAACAATAATAACAACAATCTGTTATGTGTTAATAATTAATTTATAATTTTGAAGAAATCAACAATGAGAACACTAATGTATGGTACTTTCCTGACTTTTAAATGGAACACTATATATATAGGAGTTATATTCTGTTTAGCATTTTTGCCTTTAGATTTGACAATCTAAGTCAACCGAATCCTTTGAAGTATCTATTAGGAGATTTTGGAATCATGTCCTACTTGATCATATGGCCTCTAGATTTGATAGTTTGTGTTAATCAAAGATTACAGTTTTAAAACATTTACTAGAAAATATATATCCATATTTAAAGTCTCTCTAAACTTATAGTCATATAAGCCAAAGTTGTAATGTGAAGAGTTATTTATTAATTATTAATATATATTAAATTAAATTGTTTTTTTTCCTTCTATCAATATTTCTAAGTAAAGATCTTAACTATTCAATGCTATCTTAAATATATAATAGTTTTAATATTTGTTTTTTTTACTACTTAGATAATTATAAATAGTAGGTGAGCTAGCATTAAACTTACTAATCAATTAATTATATAAGAGATATTGTTATTTTCTTTTTATAATAATTTTTTAATTTAAAATTATACTATTGTGCTAATATTAATTAAAGTGGAGATCTCTGAATTGTTCTACTTATCTTTATTATTAATAAAACCTAAAAAA